TGAACTCCATCAAGAAGACATGGGAACTCTTGGATTAAGAATTGGGAGAAATTTGCCTTCGTGGAGGACTTTTTAATGGAACTAACACGCATTTGCGTTACGTGGAGAGGAAAAACCACGAAAACCTCCCACTGTAAGCCTGGCGGCAAGGGGACTCTAACTCATGATCCGTCTACCACTGAGGATATTTTACGTCAGCACTGTGGTCGGTGAAGGCGGATGCGGAATTCGAATCGACCAGCTATCACTGGGATTCGAACCCGGTTCACCTCATTGGAAGGCAAACGCTTTATCCCGTGCCATCACGGATCACGCAGCTTAGATTCTCCTTAATTCCCTCTTAGTTTTAAAATCAGCTTTAGTTTGTAATTAATAGGGCTATGTTGCTTTTCTGTTAACTGTCTTTTCCCGCATGGTTTTCGCTGGCATTTAATGATAAATAGTGCTTTTGGAAATCAATGTTTTAATGTAAATAAGACAGAAATTTTTTTTTCGTAATTGTTACTTCAATATTGTTATTTAGTAATTAATTTATTTTTGAAAAAACAAGGAAAAACTTGTTCCACGCCATTTCTGTATGAAGTATTTCTATATGTAGAAAAGAAAAATAATGAGGTATATATTCAATTAACGCTATCTCCCCATACATTTCCATTAAAAAAATTTCTGTGTGAAACTATTATATAAAATCAAAGATAGTATGATTTTAAAAAGATTTAGGAGTAATTATTACTTTTTTGGCATAAAATGACGTAGATAAAGTTTCGTTGCACATAGATTAATAATCAATCAAAATTTGCTACTTATTGTTTGTAAATTTACTTTCTTTCAATAGCCTGGTCAAGGCTTGAACTATGTGCTCACAGCCCAAAAACATTTTTAGCAAAGTAAATTTTACTCAGTACTCCTGGAAAAAAAAATTTTTTTTTTTCTAATTACCGAGGACATTTTATGTCAAATTCCATCTTCAGTTTCATACCGATGCTTTAATTTAAATTTTTTTTAAAAATTATCTTAAAAAAATAACTGTAATAAATTTAAAAAAGAGCAAATAAGAACATGATTAGTTACAAATAGCACTGCGTTTTTGTTTTAAGCCTGTGAGTCATTAATATTAAAGTCGGGGGCCCTAGTTCTGGTGACCTCCCTTTTTAGAACTCATGTAGATAAATAGTGCTAAGTTATCTCGCAAGAATCAGCTATGTATCACTTTAATCTTTTATCATAGGCATCATCATCATCTCTGTTTTACGATGGATTGAATTGAGCAGGTGTGTTTTCGCATCTGCTCATAGTGGATCTATTATTTATATTTGTTTCCATTGTTTACTTTAAGATCACAAATTAGGAAATTAGCAAATGCGGAAGAATTATTATCATTTTTTTTCCAGGCTGTCAGATCATCACGATTTTAAACACGTATATATTTCTTGACTAATAATGTAATTATTTTCCCTTTCGCAAGCAGTATTTGGGAAAATCAGAAATAGCATGTTAGAAAAATTGCTGAATTAATTGGAGTATTATAACTATAAGGCGTACAAACATTGAGCTGACTACTCTGTATTTTATTTATTGCTAACAGCAAAGGGCTAGGATAGCTCAACGGGTTTAAAGTACAAATCCCGATTTCGGTTGGTTAATTTCTATGCTACCTTCTTTCACCGATTATCAAATTACTTGGTGTTAGACGCATCGAATAATAGAAAAAAAGAGCAAAATTTTCTTTTTTAACTCTTTCATAGCACCGGACGAGATAGTTCGTCTCTCAGGAATATTGGCTATGATCTATCAGGGTTGCCAAAAATTTAAAAAGTGGTGACAAAGATTTCATTAGATTATCGTAAATTTTGCTGCCTTTAATTTCACATCAATTTTAGAAATTGATCAATTGTAACACAAATATTTAATTTTCAAATATTTTTCATCGATGGTAATTAGTTAAAATATTTTGCTTTCTTGATATTTTACTACCAGTTTTTAAATTTTTGTGAAAAGTGGCAACCTTGTCTATCTTTGCATTAGTGAATATGGTTATTGATTGCAATTGATTATTATTTTTTAAAGTAAAATAAACAAGTTTTAAAGAAATTAGCATTTTGTTTCAATTTTAATGCTGCAGGGGAGCTCCAAGCGCATTTAGTGGGACAAAGGTGCGTCATTGCCGCAATGAAAGCTTCGTTTTAATAACCGATTTGAATTTGCCCAAATTTAGTAACATCTTTTTTATTTTTCCTCCACTGAGCAGTTTATGTTATATATATATATATATATATATATATATATATATTGNGACGTAAAGCGTTTTCCAAAATAAAATTCGCAAAACATTAAGAAATTTCTACAAGTTAGGAAAATTACTTATTCCACCAGTAAGGAGAGGTTAAATTTTGGCTACTTTCTTTCGAATGAACCGCCATTCCTTAAACCAATCAATTACCAGTTCTTTCCGAGGGGACTAAGGGGTTGCTTTTTTTTCTCTTCGCATAATTAGGTAAATAGACGTCTTCGTTGTAGATGGCAGCACAATAACTCAGATAGCTAAGATTTAAAGTTCAAATTTCGGCGCAATTTTTCTTCGTCCAATTTCAAAATATTTCTAGTTTTTTTTTTTTAAATGAAAGATAAGAATATAATCTTAATTTCCATGGATTAAAAAATTCGATGAGAGAAAAACTACTATGGATAAAAATTGTTTGAAGTTGGATTGAGTTTTTTGAATTTAAAAAATAGTAAAAAAAATTTTTTTACATAATTTCCTCCACATTAATTAAGATATTTTTATTTTCTTTCGTTTCCAAAAAACAGAATGTTATTATCTTGAAAATTGACGATTTTATGTAAGGCTGAACTGTCCATAGAATAACATGGGGGTTGCTTTTCTCCCGATCGAGCGAGCGAACGGCCTTAAAGCAAATTTAAGCAGATAAATATCATGGACTTAGTGTAATAATATTCTTCTCATAATAATAAACATTAGTGCAAAAACACTGGCCGAGTATAGTTAGAAAGACTGGTTATAGTTGGAGGAAAATTTCTCTAAACATGTTATTAAATAAGATTTTTTATCAGTCAGTATAAAATAATACTTACTATTACTTGAACATCTGATTTCGTATTAGTTTCGTCATCTTGTTCCATTCATCAAGGAAATTATCTTCATTCACTTTAAATCTCTCTTTTTAATCAAAAAGTTTTAGTCTGTATTCATTTAGTCTCATTAAAAAAAAAAAAAAAAAATATGGGCTGTATAACATTTCTAAAATATTTATTACATTTTTCTATGTTAAGATATTTTACTAAAAACGGAGTAGAATAAAATGAAATTTACAATTTTGTGAATATCATATTATTGATCTACATTTATTTTTAATCATATCACACAGTGTCGTTGCGTGTTTTATTTTATTAAAAATAAAGTTTTCAAAGTAAAATAAATAAAGTTTTGATTCTGAGAATACGTTTTGATTAATTATGGAATTTCATATTTCGTTTTTTCTTTAATTTTCAATCTTAAACTTTTTGGCATAAAAACGACCTTCCCATAAGCGTTTGACTTAAATTTACTTTTAATTTTAATTTTTATTAATGAATCATCAGGTATAAAAATTTTATCACCAGTCATAAAATTGAAAGAAAGAAATTTTAAAAATGAAGCATAATAATTTGTGATATAAATTTGAAATAAAAGTGTCGAAATGTATACTAGAATCTCATAAATTAGATTTTTAGCTGTGAAAGCGATTTTGTAAACTGTAATGATACAAAACAATTGAAAGATATAGTTCTGATAAGTTTTTCCAAAGTTAATATCTCAAGTGTTGCCTGAATAATAAAATGATTTCTCAATATACTAGAATTCTCTTTCCGTTAGAAATATATTTACTGGGATTTAGCCTAGCTTTCAACAGCTCAACACTTTCAATAGAAGGGATTAGCAACCCCTTCCCTTTCAGAACATTTTGAATGTGAAAGCATTTTTGTCACGTGCCCATGAAAGTGTTAACCTTTATGCACGTGCCTCACCCCAGTGGGTACATCCATTCTCACGTGTGAGGTAGCTGGCATAGTGTATAAGTCTTGAATGCTAACTTGAAAATTAAAAGATTTTTCGATGTGCGTTATTTTGTCATTAGAAATAATATTAACAAATCTAAATGTAACTTATTGTCACCATTTTTGACGACTATAACATTTCCATAATGATGTATAGAGTAGTTGCTAAGTCTTGAATTTAGAATGATATATTGGAAATAAAAATAAATAAAGAAAAGATTTTTATGCAGTGTACGTTATTTTTTCATTTCGAAACAACAATAGATATTACTTATTATTACCATTTTCTAATCATAATAATTACATTTTAATTTATTTGAAATAGTAGATTGTCTTGAATTTTGGTTGTCAAACTGTAAATGAAATTGGGGTTTTCGCTGTGCTTTATTTTTTTCGCCTCGCAATAGAAAACTAAATAACACTATTTCTTTTAATCGCAATTTTTTGACGAATTTTAGAACTTTTTTTTAAATTAATTTATTTTTTGTCCTCCATTGAGGAATTAAATTTAATGCATACACGTGTTTATCTTCATAGGGTACTTGCAACTCGAGAGGAAGACTGCGTGATTTTGTCCAATCATATGATTTAAATAATGTCCGCAATTGATTCCATAGTTTTACAAGTTCATTGTTTACATTTTAGTTCATTTGTTTTGGTATCTGTTAATGACGGTTAAGCATTTCAAATTAAAAATATAAACTAAAATCTTACTTTTCTTAAAATTGTGTTTTACAATAAATGACAATATGAAATATCACAGCACTGATTCTCCGATATTTAGAAAAAATTCGTTTTCAAATAACTAAGTATTTAATTTTTTGAATTTTCAAAAAAATAAAGAAATAAAATCAATTTTTTTACTTATTTTCATTAACATATAGCTCTTTAAATTTCCATTAAGATAATAAAATATTATCATATAATTGTTTTATTTTATTTAGAATTGAATATTACTATTGCATGTTCGACTGGAGGAAAATCCTTAAACGGTCGCCACAGGTGGCGATCAAGTAAGTTAGATGGCAAGCGAAACCTGATGGAGGCAGCTGCCTGGGTAGGTCATTTATCTTCTATGACAGCCGGTATTCGGTCTACGGCTAGATATCTTCATTTACTTCTATTCCCCGTCACTTGCCCTTCCTTCTTCATTGCCTACACCCCTCGGCTACTTTCCTTCTCTGCCCAACAAAACAAAACAAAATAATAAAACGACATATTGTTCTAGAATTATTCTGCTCAGCTTACCATGTTTTACATGCGTCCGATTATAAGGAAAATCTGTTTTTGTAATTTAAAACAGTTCGTGCTCCAAGTGCTGTTTATGGTAATGATTTCTTGGATGAGTAAATAGTTTTCTGAAGAAGAGAGAAAAAAATGGGAATTATATTTATTATGATTTTAGAAAGAAAAAAAAATATTCAAGTTTTTTTTTTTTCAAATTAAGAGACAATTAGGGGCGCTAAATATCGTCGAATTTCTTCTGATTATATACAGATTTATTCAAAAGCTAATTGCTATAAATTACGATATAAAATTTCAGTGTTTGTACTGTGGCTGTAAACCTTATCTAATTATTATCGATAATTTGAAATGCATATTTTCAAATTATCAATAATAATTGGATTTAGGAATCAAAGTTAAATGTATATTTGTGATCAAAATTTCATCTTACAAGCTTATATACAATAGTTTTAACCGTTAATGCCGTTCTTATTTCCTGCAACCTTAATATGGTGTCACTCGCCAAGTTGAACCACATTAATAAAATAACTAAACTTGATTGTGATTGCACAGTTTTGCACATTCTGGAATACGTTTAACCGTTAATACCGCTCTTATTTCCTGCAACCTTACTAAGGTGTCACAAGCCAAGTTGAACCACATTAATAAAATAACTAAACTTGATTGTGAATGTTTCAATTCAATATTTTATTGAGATTACATGTAATTTGCACGATATTAGGTTAAGTATACTAATATAATAATTCAATAGTGAACCGATTCTTCTGAGAGGTAAACGAAAAACCTACATTTGAAAAACGATATTCCATTAATAGGAAATTTCATAACGTTGAAAACATCAGTTATCAACAATTTTAGAACTGTGAAACTATGATAATACTCATGTAAATGACACAAATAAAATACAATTTGTATGCAAACAATAGCTTAACAAATTTATGTTATTATACTTTCTAATTAATGAATAAAATATTGAATTTTTACATAGAATTTATAAAAAAAAATTCATAATTAAAGAAAATTAATAATAGAAATTAAAGAAAAAAAACTTTTTCTTAATTAAACATTAATCATAGAATACCTAAGATTAATGATCGAATATGTAAGGAAATCTATACTAATTATTATTAAAATAAGCCTATTCTAAAGATATTGAAATAAAATGTATCAGATTGAATCTTAGACATACATTACAGTGAGACCTGTTTTTGTGCGGTCCTTTTTTATGCGATTCTGTTTTTGTGCGATTGGTTTTATGCGATTTTATTTTAGTGCGATTTTTTTTGTGCGAATTATTTTTATGCGGTATATGAATCTTAACGGCGTTAGCACCAGTTTAATGTTTCCTATCAATGTGCATATGCATGTTGTGGACGAACTCTGATTACGTGGTCTCCTTGACAACGATGTATCTGAACTTCGCGATGCTCTGTTTATTTACTTTCATTAGTTCATTTATTATCGTCAACTCCATTTTCTCTTCTGTTTAAAATTTATTCTGCGCTAAACAAGTTGAAGTAAATCAGTAAAAAATCGTTTGCTGTGTTAAAATACTTAGTATTTTAAAATTAAACCGTTATTTTTATTTTGTAAATTCTCGTCTGCGTGTATCTCAAATACTATACGCTTCGTATTCAGAGTTTTATACACGATTCATTAGATTAAGGATTCATTTTATAGTGAGATTAAAGGTAAAAAAATTAATTACTTTTGTTTCTATTTATATGTAGTTTTTATGATTTTTATTTTATTTTATCTGATCACTGACTTTATGGTACCAAAAAACAAATCATCGAAATCCTATCTTCAAGCGATTTTCAACCAATTCATTCCAAGAAGATGCGCGTTTTGGATTACGACGAGTAGCAGCAAACTATTTAATGTATAATTTGAAAACTTCTACATGTATATGTACAATGGAGAATTAAATATTTTTAAAATTTCTTTAGGTCTAATTTAATTATTTAATTTTATTGAAAGCATTCTCTTATCTATTTCATAAATCATTGATGTATTTTCTGAGTCCGACTTTTCTTATGCGGTCCCTATCAACCGCATAAAAAAAGTTTTTGGTGGTATATGGTACAAACTTGTTTATTACATGTCAGAATTTATAAAATTTTCGAATTTTTTTTTGTGCGATTTCTTTTATGCGGTTCCTATCCACCGCACAAAAAAAGGTTTTACTGTATTTAGTATTTCATTATAACCATAAATGAAAAGTTTTATAAATTTATTCTAAAAACATACTGTGTTTGGGTATTGAACTTTATCCACCATGAAAGTGAAATGTAAGGCATCAGAATTCATTACTGAAGCCGAAAAAGATAACTCCAAGTATCAGTAGGTTCTTGACATCAGGAGCAATTCACACTTCAGAATACTGCATTTTAAAAATAAACACAGCGTTAAGCGGTAGAGTGCTTTCCTTTCATTTTCGTTGCTGACGAGATCTCGCCTCTTTCAACTGATATTCCATGTTTTTTTTTTCCTTCTCTTCACTTCATTTCTCCTTTCTTTTTTTTCCTTCTCTTTTTTTAAATTAAAAAAAAAGTTTAAAAGCGAATGCCTCATTGCATTTTGTTATCCAATTTTTGACCTGTTACATAAATATTGCAGCAATCTATTGAAGTGAGGAAGGAAAAAAAAAAGTACTACAAAATTTTTTGAGCAAACGTTTCTACAAATAGTGGAATTGCTTCAAAATCGTTTTCTATTTTTATGTTAGAACCTGTTTCATTCTTCCAATTTGGAGAAAGCGATACTTATTTAAACATTACAGCAGTGTCCAAATTTTGTGTTAATTCACTTTCCATTAATAATTGTAGCGATTCATTGATGTAAGAAAAAGACCGCAATCATGTACTACTTGCAACTCGAGAAGAAGTGAAGTGATTATGCATGTGATTAAATCAGATTTAATTGGATTCCTGTAAGCAACGTCACGCGTATATGTCGAACCTGATTGGCTTCTGAATCGACAAATGTAACGATTTATCTGCGATGACGTAACTTGCAGGTATACAATTGTTTGAGTAAACGAATCTAAGATGTTGAAATTTTGAAATAGTTTTCTATTCTGGTATAGTAACTTTTTGTTTTTTAAGAAAATAAGATGTGATCATGTGATATTTTTTAAAAAATTTTACGTTTTATTTTGGGCTCATTTCTTTATTTATGTAATTTTAAATAAAAATTGAAAATCGACGGAGAATTGGAACCTTTACTACAACTTCGTACTTTGATTATAATTATTCTTATTGGTTGCTTTCATGCAATTCTATTTAAGGTTATAACACATAATTTGAGGTTCTGTGCATCGTCATATTTTAATTAAAGAATTTTATAAATATGCCATGCAAGTTATCCTTTCGTCAGACTATTTTATTTTTTCGAATAATTTAAATATGAATAAAAAAAAAATAAGCGCTGTTAAGTAGAAACGATTTTTTTTATTTAGTTTTTTAAATTGTACTTCTAATAGGTTTTTTAAATTTTTTCAGTGGTTTGGTTTAAAGAGTTAAAAATCAAAAAAAAAAAGCGATTTTAATTCGAATCCGAACACAAGTGATTTCATTTGAGTCGCACTTGAAAATGTGCTCTGCATGTTCAATGAAACTTGGCGAGGAAAAACAGTTGGGCTGCCGTAGAAAAAAGTGTGCATCGTTCATTTTCGATGTTAATCGGCCGACAGGTAAAGATAAATGACTCAATTAAAGCATCACTGCAATGATCTGAGAGCTGTTGGAATTTATGTGAATCGTTGGTGATCAGAAAACGGGAAGAAACTGCGTGCTCTTGAAGCAGATACGGAGTAGTGGATGGAGGGGGGGGGGGATAAAAAGGAAGGAAAACAAGTTTTGTTGACCCTAGGAAAGAGCTTTTTTATCATCAAGCGAACAGGTTATCAATATGGAATCCAAAAACAGAGAAGTTTTGCTTAAATATACTTCTTTCTGCGTGCTTTTTTTTCCTCGCTTCACGTTTTCTTGACTATAAAAAATATCTCTTCAGAGAAAAATGTTTTTTTTTTCTTTTTCTAACTGATATCGATAATTTTAACTGCGAAAGTTGAGGAGGGGGAAAAAAATCCGTTTTTGTCCGTATCTCGGGCAAGGCATGAATTTTCTTTCATTCTCTGTACTATCTGTCCTCTTACTGTGGGAACAACGTTGGCCCAACTAATATGGTGCCTCTGAAAGAGTGACCAACAAATCTGCCCGGTAAATACCTGAATTTTTTTTATGGTACTCCTGAAAGAGTGGCCAACAAATCTGCCCGGTAAATACCTGAATTTTTTTTATGGTGCTCCTGAAAGAGTGGCCACCAGATCTGCCCTTCAGATGCCTATATTGACGAAAAGTCTTTCCCCAGGTATTGGCATTGGAGGAAAAGAAAAATTTTTTTCAGAAAAAAAAAAAAAAAAAAATTTGCAATGTTTTAGAATATTTATATAAAAAAAAAATCAATGAGGTTACTTAATATTTCTTTAAAATTATGTCATTTCCTTGCCTTTTTATTTAATTTTTTTTATTATTTTTTTATTTATTATTATTTGGTAGTAAATTTATTGAAAAGTGAAATTAGCAAAAGCAATGACCAAAACAATATCATAAATTTGCCTTTCATAAAAATTAGATTTTTTTTCTTTCATAATTCTTTCCTTATATATTTATAAATTTTAAAGAAACTTATAACAAATTACTTCAGAAATAAACCTTAGAAGGAAATCTTGAGAAGAATATTTTAATTGTAATAAAAATTATAAAAATATTCGAGAGGTAGGTCTTCTTAAGAGGCTTTTCTGCGCCA